TGGCATAAAGCAGACCATTTCAACCACGGCATATATGTGTAATTGGACAATATTTTTGTTATTAGTCATTCTCTCTCTCTCTGTGATGCTTAATACTTTGCTCTGAATTTCCACCAAAAATTCCCGCATTTCCTGATATACAATTATCATTTTGCCTCACATGGTTAAATTCAAGATGTGCAAGTGAATAGCCTGTAAAACGCAGGAGTACATCCTAAAGAATGACCTCTGAAACTGAATTACCAGCAAATGTTGAAATTGAGTTTTCAATGTGCAGTAAGTAACAAGATTCAAGCTCTTGATTTAGGGTGCTCACTCTATTGACAAAATATGCTGCAAAGCCTGAAAAGGCTATCAGGAGTATGATGATGGGAACAAAAAGAATCATTAGTTCACCCACACATCGTTCCAAGCTGAATGACAGGTTAACACACTTGAACAGGCAAAACAGGAAAATCTTGTAATGAATTAGGATGAAAGCACTTTAAAGATATTAAGGTTGTTTGCATCAAAACTGAAATGAAGTAGCAAGAGGCCTCAGACATCTATTTCAGTTAAGAGCAAATGGCACTTGTTAGAACAGGATAAATTTCAAAATATTGGCCAGGATACTTTATCCAATCTTGAATGTGACCAAAAATGTGTAAGATGGAAAAGGTAGAAAGCATGCTGTTTTTATCCTGTGAATAAAGATAACAATATAAGCTGAAAGAAGGAATACCTGAAGAATCCATTGAAATCCCCCAAACTAGGAGAAGCAGACATGAGATACTGATGATATTGATGATTCGTGCCTAACCAACAGTATGTTGTTTTATGGCTGAGAGTTTGAAATGTAAGTACATTATTTTACAGTAACGATGCATAGGTGATACTCAACATTCTGCAAGAAGAAGCCATAAGCAATCAAATCAGAGTTTGATATTTTTCCCCTTTTCTCCACTCAGCTATCGCCCTCCACATTCACTCAGTACACACACTTAGTTCTTCAAATTTTAAAACCAATACAAATGTAGGAGTCTACAGCTACCTCAGAAGGGGGAAGGGGGATAAAAAAAATCAAAGGATAATAGAAGCGCTCTCCCCCTTTTAGAAACATTTCAGAGTAAAAGAGTAAACCACAGTGCTGCTTTAGACAATCACAGTACCTACAAAATTATGGTTTTCAAATGAGCAAATATATGAAACAAACAAACAATGAAAAGGTTCAATATCTGTTACCAGGGTAAACACAAGCCTTCCACTTTCCAACACTGCTCGTTATTAAAATTAATATTCCTCATGCACTACTTAATTGGCTAGTTTTCCAGCTAGTGAAGTTCTACATGAATATAATTGTTTCCTAATGAACAAAGCAGGTAACAGCTCCTAAAAACTTTCAGAGAGAACCCAGTACAGGATCTGTACAAAAGAAACAGGCTGGGTTTTTTGTTTTACAAAGCCTAAAACCTTTCCTATTTTACCTGTCAGAATACACATTCATTCACTTATTTATTTTCTTGGAAAGTAAATTATTTCCTTGTAATACAGTGGGATGTTTCCCTTAACTCTTCATTAGCATCAGCTTACAGAAATAGAGTTACACACAATCCTTCTAAGCATTGGAGTGTCTTGCATGTACAGAGACAGCTACTGTGTGCATTAGTGATCAACAGCTCTTTAAGGCATGCTCTGAGGCTGGAGCTTCAGCACTGCAAAAATGAGGGTACGGTTAGTCATTGAGATAAAAATGCATTTTTCTGCTAGTCTCATTTTTGCTGTATATAGCATCCTGGCCACAGAATGCACTGCCTTTTGAGAAATCATGTCATAAGATGGGGTAAAAGGATGTCACAGCATGCAATGTTGTGACATATGGCACACAAGAGCAATACTCTCAATCAAAAAGAAAAAATTCATAACGTAATAATCATGAGTACCATCTGCTTCGGCAACAGTATTGAAAGCGGACAGGGGATGGCCCATGGAAAGACAAACACCCCATTGTACCCATTTGAAAAAGGCACCATACCCAGATCAGTAAGTAAGGAGGCAAAAAACCACAGTTGGGCAGTAAAGCATAAAGAGACAATAAAATACTGTTTGAATCTCATAAAGATAATATACTCCCTAATTAGTAGAAAACATGAGTGCTGGTTTAGACTGAATGTATAGTCAAATTAATAAAATGTTAAGTATTCATGTTCCTCTTCTACATAGATATAAATGGTTTTACAGTGTCTATTTGTCCTCTGGAAATGAATCACAGATGTTGTCACCTAAAGCATTCACCACTGGCTCTGCATCCAAACACACACAGCTTGTATGTCATCCCCTGAAACCTACATAAAGGTGATCCCAAGCATAACTATTGTTTCTTATAACTGTGCAGTGGTAAAGTACTGAAAACTGCAGTTTTCCTCTGCAATTTTGCCTGACATAGTTTACACAAAAGTTACTATATCAGAACATCATCTCAAGATGTGGCAGAGATACTGACAATAGGAGAGCATCAGACTCAGGAGATGACTCAGAACTAACTTATCTAGCACAAGCATTAACATCTGTTATTTAGCCCCTTACCTCTACCTGAGTCGATGCCAATTTTGCATCGTCCTCAGGTCTTGTCATCACATTCTCTGGTATCAGAATGGCTGAAAAAGGAATCTTACTCAAGCATAACCCTTGAACTACAAATATCCATTGTAAATTAATCTTCTACTTCCTTGAAACTGAAGTGCCTTCTCTATTATCAATATTTGAGATTGTCTCCTACTATCTGTGAAAGATTTCCAACCATATTCTTCCATAACCATATTCAACATGAGCTACCATCCAGACAGGCGTATTTTTGCAACATGCCATTTTGGTCATTTGTTACTATAGAACAGAATCAGTTATCATCTTCCATCTGTAGACACTGGGCACCTTAGACACATGCAAGCTGGAGGTATTGCCATTTTTGGCATGAACATGCTCATTAATCACAGTTGATTTCAAATCTAGAGAAAAGTCATCTTTACAGAATTCTTGGAGATAGTCACTCAAAGATATACACAGGTGTAAAATCCATCATAAAGAAACTACAGGGGGTGAAAGAATGTCTCTGGCTTTGTACACAGCTAGACTATCATTTGACTTTGTGTATAACTACAATACCATTTACAGGAAAGCTTATTGCACCAAGTTAGAAAATCTCAGAAAGAATGTTTTGTCACGTACACGTGCCATCTTCTCCTTGACTAGGATCAAATATCTCAAATTTGACACTGTGGTCAGCAGTCTTTAAGCCTTAAAAAGATGATGTCCATTTAGTTCCTGAAGTACTTTTTAAAGGAAGTTCAGCCTACCATGACATACAATGGCTTCTCTATGTTAAAAAGGACAGCTTAGTATTCAATTACAGACTGCACCTCCTCCCCACAATTAAGGTCTACTGTTATGAGAATCTCAAGAAAGAACAATTGTATTCCCTACTCCATTTGCATGCTGTGAAACCACTGACCCTGCAGTTCAGGAGAGAAGACTTCTATTAGTCTTTCTTCTTCAGTACCCTGCCAAAAAATAATGGGTTTGTTCTACAGTAAATTTACAGGGGGACCTCTGACCCTTTGAACTGGTACTGGTTTCCCATTTCTGTGATACATATTTTCTTGTTATGTAAGTTGGCTACACTAAAGACAGTATACCAAAATCCCTCATTGACAACACCAGAATACTGTATACCACTGCAAGGCAGGGGGAGGGAGGGAAGAGTTACTATGGAAAATCTCACAACTTTTAAAAAAGTTACATAGGTATCCTTTATCATAAGTATTTACAAATTTTGCAATCTAAAACTAGAATCACCTTCCTTCATAGAACTGTGCTTTGAGTATGTCTTCTTATCCTTATCAAGGAAAACTAACCATCATACAAGCATGATAGATGGAATAAATTCCATCACACTTTTTACAAAGGTTTTCATGCTGACACTGTAACTCTGAAACTGACAGTAAATTAATTTTCAGAGTAGCCTCACACTTGGCAGTCTCAATATATACTTACTAATGTTTTTCTTTTAAGAACTTATTCATGTGAGGGAAGCCTATGGTATAGATCCTACACAATTAAATTATTTTCTTAAACATCAGTGAGAAATCCAAAGGAACAACTGCAGCACAGGAACTAGATTGTTAATTGCACAAGAATACTGTGTTTCCTCAATAGAGCAACTCTCATAACTATTTCAGAGCTCTGCTGTTAGAGCCCTCACACCTAATGCATCTCCCCACCTCTCTCACCCATTATTCTTAGCACATCAAGGTCAGAGACAAAGTTTGGATAAGCAATCTTACCTTTTTCAGGTCCCTTCTGCCACCCTCAGGAGCAAACAGATGGCTAACTATGATGAGTAGGATCTACCCACATAGAAATTCAAAGGAAAACAAAGAACTATTCACTTGACAGTCACTGCTGCTCTTTGAGCTGTTCTGTGCATGAGGATGTTGGCTTGCCTTATGCTTCCACTGGCCAAGTACAGCTCTAGTCTTACCTGAGCTCTGAGAGCACGCTGTTCTTCATGGTTCATGATGAGGTAAAGGCAGAGACTGTACATGCCTTTCTGTGGCCCTTCATGAATGTAAAAATTACTCCAGGCTTCTACACAAAAGGTACAGGCACACACACCCTAACCCACATGTAACAGCTTGAAGAGCAATTTAGCTGTACTGCTTCCTACTACACAACTGCTTTTCAGAATCCTGAAGCGAGCTACTGGCTTTATTTAATTCAACTATATGTTACTCATATTTACATAAATAAATAAAAAATCCTATTTTTTGTGTACAATGTTCCTCTTCATGCTTCAAAAACATTACAGAGGTTCATATCAACAAATGGCAACACAATTAATGACAAACGCAAAATACTTCAGAGTAACACTTCATTAAAAGACCAGTACATCTATCAGCTTAGTAATGCACAGCACATCCAACCTCGGAAACATTTTACAAGAGAAAGAGAAGAAAGATTTCCATTACCTTAGAAGTCCTTATATCCCAAGCTTTAACTTCCGGGCTGAACCCTCCACAAATGAAAATATTTGACTCTGTAGGGTGGAACTTCAGTGCGCTGATCCTAAATTCATTTTTGCTGCTAAATATCTGCTTCCCTAAAATAAAGTGAGAAGTGGAGACTAAAATTTGAGCAGAAAATTAAATATGTTATTCATTCCAACCTAGTTTCAAAAATATCAAGGTTGTCAAAGGTGAGCATGTTTATATTAACACGTTTCAAGTATCTGGGGCTACTCTGATTTACTGAAACTACGAGACTGAACTCACTAATTTTTATCCACATGAAATTTCTCCTGCTCATGGGCCTCTGAACCACTGACTGCTTCCTACTGAAAGGGGAGAACAAGTTGTTTCCCACACTAAGGAGAGGAGCTCCACCGAGGTCCCGGTTCAGTCGACACACAGGACTAAATCTACAAATCTAATAGTTAAATGTTTCCTACAGAGAAGTCACAGTATTTCTTTCAGTGGTATAAAAATAACTAGAACCAAATACTGTCTGTACAGAAATACCACATCCCAAACTATACTACAACTCTCTAGTTGTTTACTTATATTTCTATGAAGGTAGGAGTGAAACTTCATCTTGAAAGTAGGAAATAATTTGCATACCATCATATGAAGGCAATAGCTGTTCCCATGGATACACTGTTCCCAACATTTAATTGCGTACACTAATCTCTGTAGGATCCTGTGGTTAGTATCAATTGGATTGTTGACACTTTTAAAGGCAACAGAATTCTGCTAGGTTAATTTACAGGAGTTTTCCACAGTCCACTGCTTCCTTTCATCCTAACAAATTCATTATATTAATGTATATTCGCTGAAATATAATCTTTGGAACAGCAGCATGGACCAAGATAAATACATTTGCTCAGTTTCACAATTTCAACTGTGCTTTATATTCTACATATCCACATTAAATAAAGTTACTGCTTTAAGTCACAGTGAAGGAGGTACTGCAGAAGTGAAAAAACCAACACAACCCTTAAAATACTATGACAAAAGCTTCTTAAAATATTCATTAATCTACATTTTCAGCAAGTGAGAGTTCTCTTAAGACAGGCTTTCTTAAATAACTGAAAATACTTCGAGCTAAATTATTAGGGAAGGATGTAAATACTTTCTGTTAGGTGAACAATACTGAAAATCATTCATATAGATTTCTTTTTTTAATGCTTATTTCATGATTTGAAGCCAATTTCTTTGATTTTGTCATCAGTTCCATTTTCCCCATGTGCTGAAGTCAACTTACACAGTCAAGAGGCTAAGACTTGTCAAATTATTTATTTATTCGTTTTAAAGAAGAGAAGAGAGAGAGATAGTACTTCATCACATGTGCTCTTCAAGCTAGCAGGGGCAGGGAAAATAGATTGCAGGGAGTGTAAGGGAGGAGTGTTATTCTATGTGAACACTGGTTTTTGGGCGGGGGGGTGTGTTCTTTTTAAAAAGATTCTCCACCGATTACCCACGCAAGATCTAAAGGGTCTCTCTGTCACTACTGAGTGAAAGACTTAAGTTAGTCCATCAGTTCCTTCCCCCCAAAGAGAAAAAAGTCATAAGGGCAGCAGAGGTTCCCTCTACAAGTCATATGCAACAGTGACCATCTCTCACCATGGGAGCTTTCAGTATCCCAGCAGCTACAGAAGGAAAAAAAAAAAAAGACTCCACAGGGAAGGAAAAAAGTATTAAAATCATCAGTTATAGGAGCAACAAGATACTGCTTTCATGTATGCCATGACCATCATCATTTGCGGGCTTTAGAAAAGCCACATACACATGCACCTTACTCTCATCTACAGCACTTGAGAAGATACTGTATTTCCCCATGGAGGCTCACTCGTCAGTTTAAAAGCACTTTGCTCCCAAAGGAATTTGGTTCCTACTAGCACCTATTTTAATAAACACTCTGGGAGTATGATCAACAAGTTTTCAATGGTACTGCAGCCAGAAATTAGCAAAAGTGCAGCCTACCTGTACTAATCCTGTCAAACAGATTTATAAAGGATGCATCAAGAGGTCACCATTATTCATAAAGTGTGTTGTCCAAATGGCATTAGACATATACATAATTGATCAAGTGGAACTCATCACCTAAACTTCTGACAAACATTAATTGTTTAACTGGCTTTACTAAAGGTAGGAGTTTTTTTAGATTTTTACCATGTCCTGGTTTCAGCTGGGATAGAGTTAACTGTCTTCCTAGTAGCTGGTACAGTGCTATGTTTTGAGTTCAGTATGTGAAGAATGTTGATGACACTGATGTTTTCAGTTGTTGCTCAGTAGTGTTTAGACTAGAGTCAAGGATTTTTCAGCTTCTCATGCCCAGCCAGGGCACCTGACCCAAACTGGCCAACAGTGTATTCCATACCATGGGACGTCCCATCTAGTTTAGGAACTGGGAAGGGGGGGCGGGGGAATCACCGCTCGGGGACTGGCTGGGTGTCGGTCGGTGGGTGGTGAGCAATTGCCCTGTGCATCATTTGTACATTTCAATCCTTTTATTACTACTGTTGTCATTTTATTAGTGTCATCATTATCATTATTAGTTTCTTCTTTTCTGTTCTATTAAACTGTTCTTATCTCAACCCAGGAGTTTTACTTCTTTTCCTGATTTTCTCCCCCATCCCACTTAGTTGCTGGCTGGGGTTAAACCACGACATACCACCACAAGACTTCTGAAAACTGCTTCTTCTATAATGCCTACATTTTTTCTTGCCATTGTGCTCTTTAGCCTAAGACATGAGAAAGTCAGGTAAAACACAACCAAAAAAGATGTGCACTAAATTCAAGATGCATTTCATCTACTAACTACAAGATCTGTTACCTTTTCCACAGAAAGATTGATTTAACATGATTTGTTATTAATTAGTCCATCTTTCAATCTCATCCCCAACTACTTCCAAATAATTCAACCATTTGCTCAATATTTTCTCCAGAAATTAGAATTCTCTATTTCCGTACTCCATCTCCCCCTGTTTTAAAGAGAAGTGGGCACTGGTTTTGCCCTTTTCTTGTCTTCTAGAGGCTGTTATTTATTCAAAAGCTTTCAGTGACAGACATTACACTGTAATGATCTCAGTGCTATGAATTCTACATTACGGCATAATAAATAAATGCAAACAACCTGAGCATCTTATTCACCTCTGTACTCTTTAACATCTTTCTTTTTCCTATTTTAAACTGTTACCTTACTGTTTGATGTAGATATTAACCATACTAGCTTTTTGACTGGTCTGAGGAGCAGTCACAATACATTAATCTTAAAAGCTCAGTCTCTCCAATTAATACTTTGAAATACAACTCTTTCTCATTCTCTCACCCCCACAAAGCGAAATTCAATCAAACATCTCTTTTTGGAAACTCAGTAAACAGCATTCTGAAGAGTTTGGCATAATTAGACGTATACATGAATTTCATTCTACTGCCGTGTCACATAACATGAGAAAAAAGTTGGAGCACAGAAGACCAAAGCAGCAGTAGCAGATAACATACTCAAAAGGGGAGGACTACAACATTACAGAAAGGAAACTCTCCTATTGCTAGAACTGAAATTTATGCACAATACACAGAATCTAAGTTGGACTGCTTGTCATACAAATATGCCCGACCCCAGCAAAATTAACTTTCCTAACATTTATATTAATACATCCCTTAAACCCTTTGCTGAGGCACATTCTCTAAACAGTTATGAAACCTCTATCACTGTAAATCTTTCAGAACCTCAGAAATTTAGGGAAAATATCCATCTGAGAGATGGAACAGATCACTGCGGAAGATATGTGGCAGAATAGCTCATGCAATTCAGTATTTTAAAACAATGACTTCAACTCTTAGCCCTTTTCTGTACAAACTTTATTTAGTGTTTTTTACTACTACAAGCAGAATTTGCTGCTTTGCAGGCTGTAACCATGCTACGATGGAACCTAGCCCCATAGCTTGGGAAATCCAGCTTCAGTGTCTGCTGGAAACCTTGCTCCACCTTTTGTGGAAGTTGGTATTTGCAGTTATGCATGTTTTTCACTACAATATTCAGTTTATTAACATTAAACATTCAACTTTTTAGGGCCTTATTTTATATATTGCAAAAGATGTCCTTTGAGCAGAAGACTCCCTTATCCATAATAGAACACAACAGGTGTAATTCAGCAAGCTTGTATAAACCTGTATTGTGTATATATTTATTGCATTTTAGTCCCTAAAGGCAGCATAACAAAGATTCAAGCAACTTATAGACTGTAGAAAATTACATCTTCTGAAAATCTATTTGGCTAATTGAGGGAAAATCCATACCACATATCATTTTCCCGTATGAGAGGTTGTTATTCCAAAGCAGAAAGCAAATGTTTCTCTGAATCTTTAATTTTCACAATTTTGGTAACAATATCTACTATATCTTTGCAGTATGTTTTATTTTCTTAAAGTGCTTTAATTCAATTCTTCATTCATTAAAGGCTCACCAGTAACATACACAGTATGAAAAAAAACTTTAAAAAGATCTTGAACATATGTTTCTGCTCCCTTATGCTGCAGCCTACTGTGAAACTGCTCAACTATGAAATCAGATATTTTAAAGGCTATTTAACATTGTGAATTTTTCACAGAACATCAGCACAGTTATTGAGCACAGGATGCTTCTGTAACTGTGTTTAGGGGTCCTCAGGTTCACACCCCTACCTGCATAATCCAAAAACATTCACCTCCTTACACTAATCTGTAAAGAAAAGTGAAACCCAAGACTTACAAGGACATGAGAGTAATCTTGCTATACAGAACGGATTTCCCTACTGTGTTTACAAAAAGACATGAGACAATATATTAAAAAAAATCTCATTACAGTCACAATCTCTCTCATGCATAATTGTGAGCAGAACGATAGATTGATCAGACATAATTTGTTCTTAACAAATCCATTGTATCTTGGCGTGCTTACAGATGGCCTTATTATTTTTCCAAGAGCTAGTTATACTGACTATATGTTTCTCCTGATTTTTTCCCCTACAGTCACAAGTTTCTGGCATGCAAAGGTGCTTGAAATATTAAATAATATTATCTTTTACCTTTGAAAGTGTCCCCCAAATCAACATTCTTCTTT